CCCTGCCACTCACTCCCTCCTGTTGTCTTTTCGACCCCCTGTCCCCTCCTGCCACTCCCCATGTCCCCCCTTCACCTCCCCTTCCCTCCCCCACCAGTGTCGCCTCTGTCCCCGTCTTCCCACCCCCTACATCACACCTCTTGGGGCTCCATGCTCTCTGGTGACACCTTGGGGACACCTTGGGGATGCTCCAGGGGTTGAAGGAGCCTTGGGATGTCCTCGATGGCTCTTTGGCACCGCTCGGCCACTCCACTGGGGCTGTCGGGAGCACCAGTGAACAAGAACTTGATGGTGTCTGGAACTGCCCCCAGCAGGCGATCCTTTGTCAGGCGGGCGTTGGCCTCCCACAGCCGCTTGGCCACAGCCACCTTGGCCACCAAGTCCTCGGGGACACTGTGGAATGCCTCATTTGTCCCCTTCACGACAGCCTTGGTGTCCCTGAGCAGGCGCTGCAGCTCCTGGGGGAATGTGGCGGCTTCGTCACACGCGGCCACCAAGCGCTCCAGCAGCCCCAGGGCTGCCTCTGCCCATTGTCTCACCATGGTGGCCCTTGTTGCCTCGCTGGCAGGGAGCCTTGGGATGTCCTCAATGGCTCTTTGGCACCGCTCGGCCACTCCACTGGGGCTGTCGGGAGCACCAGTGAACAAAAACTTGATGGTGCCTGGAACTGCCCCCAGCAGGCGATCCTTTGTCAGGCGGGCGTTGGCCTCCCACAGCCGCTTGGCCACAGCCACCTTGGCCACCAAGTCCTCGGGGACACTGGGGAATGCCTCATTTGTCCCCTTCACGGCAGTCTTGGTGTCGCTGAGCAGGCGCTGCAGCTCCCGGGGGAATGCGGTGGCTTCATCACACGCTGCCACCAAGCGCTGCAGCAGCCCAAGGGCTGCCTCTGCCCATTGTCTCACCATGGTGGCCCTTGTTGCCTCGCTGGCAGCCTCCCTGGCATCTCTCCTCAGCTGGGCTTCATGCCTGGCCACCACCTCGTCCCCCTCCTCCTCCTCCCTGCCCAGGTCCGGACCCAGCTCCACCGTGTTTTCCTGAGCCGTCCCATCATGGGCAGCCATGTTCTGCTTGGCCCCTGCCCAGAAGATGGTGTTTGCCGCCTTGGTGGCTGCCTCATTGACCACCTCCCTGCAGGTGTTGTGGAGCTTGGTGGCTTTCCGGGCCAGCTCAGCCCAGCTGCCCACGAGCACGGCCAATGACCCCTGCCACATGATGGCCTCCATTGTCCCATGGTCCCAGGTGGTGCATGGGGTGCTCTTGTAAGTGGCCAGGCCCTGGCTCAGGGAGCTGAGAGGGTCATCATCATTGGAGGTGACCTTGCGGTGCCACCAGGTGTCATCAGTGCAGTACAGGGTGACCCAAAGGTTCTGTGTGAAGTCCACCAGGTCCCAGTAGAGTCTCACTGCGGACACAAGGTTCATCTTGTCCCGCCTGGGCATGGTGGCCAGCAGCTCACCCAGGATGGCCACCACAGTGTCCTGTGACTGCAGCAGGGCTGGGGACAGCTGTGGAGGGGACAGGGGAGGTGTCAGGGACCTGGTGGCACTTGTGGCCTTTTGGGGATGCCCCTCTGCCCCCGCGGGGCCCCCTTTTCCCCTCTGTTCCTTTGTCAGCCTCTTCTTCCCTCTGCAACCCCACTGCCCCCCTGCTGTCCCTTCTGCCACTCCCCGCCCCTCTTCTGTCCCCACTGCCACCCCCTGCCACCACACTCGTATCCCCTGCCACCCCCCACTGTCCCCTCTGTCCCCTCTGCCACCCCCCTGTGTCCCCCCTATCCCCCACTGCCCCCTGCCCACCAATGTCCCCTCTGTCCCCCTCTCTTCCTGCCCCCCCGACCCCACTCTTGTCCCACCTCTTGGAGGTCCATGCTCCCTGGGGACACTTTGGGGACACTCTGGGGACAATGCAGCGATCTAACAAGACTTGCAATATCCTCAATGGCTCTTTGGCAGCGCTCAACCACCTCGCAGGCACTGGGGCTGGCAGTTCCACCGTCGATATAAAACTTGATGTTGTCTGGAAGTGTTCCCACCAGGTGATCCTTGACCAGGCGGGCGTTGGCCTCCCACAGCCGCTCGGCCTCCACCACCTTGGCCACCAAGTCCTCCGGGACATTGGGGGACGCCTCATTTGTCCCCTTCAGGGCGGCCTGGGTGTCCCTGAGCCGCCACTGCAGCTCCCGGGGCAACACCGTGGCATCCTCACACGCGACCACCAAGCGCTCCAGCAGCCCCAGGGCCACCTCCAGCCACTGTCTCACCTTGGTGACCCTTGTTTCCTCACTGGCAGCCATACTGGCATCTCTCCTCACCTGGGCTTCATGCCCGGCCACCACCTCGGCCCCCTCCTCTCCATCCAGGGCCTGGCCCAGCTCCACCATGTTTTCCTGAGCTGTCCCATCATGGGCAGCCATGTCCTGCAGCTCCCTGGCCTGGGTGGTGGCGTTGACCACCATGTCAGCCGCCTCTGTGACCACTTTCCTGCAGGTGTAGTGGAGATTGCTGGCCATCCTGGCCAGCCGGGCCCACCTGTCCACAAGCACAGACACCAACCCCTGCCACTTTCTGGCCGCCATTGTCACACGCTTCTGGGTGGTCCATGAGGTGCTCTCGCAGGTGGCCAGGGCCTGGCTCAGGGAGGTGGGAGGGTCATCATCATCAGAGGTGACATTGCGGTGCCACCAGGTGTCATCAATGCGGTACAGGGTGGCCCGGAGATCCTCGGTGAAGGCCACCAAGTCCCAGTACAGACACCTTGGGGACATGAGCTTCATCTCAGCTCGACTGGGCCCCTGTGTCCCCCCATCCCCCACTGCCCCCTGCCCACCAATGTCCCCTCTGTCCCCCTCTCTTCCTGCCCCCCCGACCCCACTCTTGTCCCACCTCTTGGAGGTCCATGCTCCCTGGGGACACTTTGGGGACACTCTGGGGACAATGCAGCGATCTAACAAGACTTGCAATATCCTCAATGGCTCTTTGGCAGCGCTCAACCACCTCGCAGGCACTGGGGCTGGCAGTTCCACCGTCGATATAAAACTTGATGTTGTCTGGAAGTGTTCCCACCAGGTGATCCTTGACCAGGCGGGCGTTGGCCTCCCACAGCCGCTCGGCCTCCACCACCTTGGCCACCAAGTCCTCCGGGACATTGGGGGACGCCTCATTTGTCCCCTTCAGGGCGGCCTGGGTGTCCCTGAGCCGCCACTGCAGCTCCCGGGGCAACGCCGTGGCATCCTCACACGCGACCACCAAGCGCTCCAGCAGCCCCAGGGCCACCTCCAGCCACTGTCTCACCTTGGTGACCCTTGTTTCCTCACTGGCAGCCATACTGGCATCTCTCCTCACCTGGGCTTCATGCCCGGCCACCACCTCGGCCCCCTCCTCTCCATCCAGGGCCTGGCCCAGCTCCACCATGTTTTCCTGAGCTGTCCCATCATGGGCAGCCATGTCCTGCAGCTCCCTGGCCTGGGTGGTGGCGTTGACCACCATGTCAGCCGCCTCTGTGACCACTTTCCTGCAGGTGTAGTGGAGATTGCTGGCCATCCTGGCCAGCCGGGCCCACCTGTCCACAAGCACAGACACCAACCCCTGCCACTTTCTGGCCGCCATTGTCACACGCTTCTGGGTGGTCCATGAGGTGCTCTCGCAGGTGGCCAGGGCCTGGCTCAGGGAGGGGGGAGGGTCATCATCATCAGAGGTGACATTGCGGTGCCACCAGGTGTCATCAATGCGGTACAGGGTGGCCCGGAGATCCTCGGTGAAGGCCACCAGGTCCCAGTACAGGCACCTTGGGGACATGAGCTTCATCTCAGCTCGACTGGGCAGGGTGGCCAGCAGCTCGCCCAGGATGGCTACCACGGTGACCTGTGGCTGCAGCAGCACTGGGGACAGCTGGAGAGGGGACAGGGGAGGTGTCAAGGATCTCAGGACACTTACAGCCTCCTGGGGTGGCCCCATGCTCCCAAGGGATCCCCTTTTTCCCCTCCATCCCTTTGTCAGCCTCTTCTTCCCTCTACCACCCCCTGCCCCTCCCCTCATAGCCCCTCCCACCTGCTGTCCCCAATGCTGTCCCCTCTGCCACCCCCGCCAGCCCTTGTGTCCCTTTCCCGCCCATGTCCCCCCATCCCCTCCTCC